TATAGACACACTTCTTGGTAGCATTTAAAAAATAAAAAGTAAGTAGTTACTTTCAAATAACCATCCTGTCAGGGAAGGAAATCTCATCCTGAGGGGAAATTGTAATGATTGACGAAGATTTTGACTCAAAAAATAATGTGGATCTTTACTTATGTTTTAGACTGTGGAGGAAAAAAGCTTCCCAAATGCCTTGCTTATTAAGCTAGTCATGTATTTCACTGCAGGTTGTAAAACAGGAGAACATGCACAAGGGGCTCATAAGCATATTTTAGAGTTAGGGAATATCATTTATACCATTTTATATTATCTATATCACCCCTGTAGAATAAGATTAAGCTTTAAATTACTGTAAATCTACAGTTTTGCTCACCTTTGTATAAATTCATTTTTAATAGAATGAGACTTATGTACATTATTATTTGATTAAGGGATATACCTAATAAAATAATGCATTTATTGCATACAGATTTATTCAAATCTTGAACATAGAACAGCAAAATACTATAAAGAGAGTTTGTGGTTTTCAGTGAAGTGCATTGAGTAGATTTTGGATTTTCTTTGTTGGAATGAAATTTTGACCAGGTCTTATTGTTTTTTCTGTGCAGCCTGAACACTGATGCCGGAACTCCAACTGATCATAGGCACGAATAGGGTGCTGTAGCAGTTACCTGCTTAATCTAGTGTTGTAATTCTTTAGAATTCATACTCAAATTCTTAAAATATGAAGCCTACAATTACTATTTCTTTATTACTGATAAATAGAACCCTGCACGTACAGAAAAAATGTACTAGAGAATGGGCTTTGTGAGTTTTTAGAGGATAATCATAATGATGACTAAACATGATATTTTACACTTTTTTTAACCCCTTTCTTCCAAAGAGTTCATAGTGCTTCACAAACATTATCACATTAATCCACACAGCATCCTAGTGGGGTAAGTAGGTGGAAGAATTTTTAAGACAGAGAAAATGCTATTTCTAAATGGTGTAAGAGAAATTAAAATACAGACATGCCTACTTTAAGCTGTGATTATTATGAAATAGCTTTTTATTTGTCTTTCCTGGAATTTAACAGGAATTATATCAGGAGATAATTCATTTGTGCAAATGATCAATATTTGTTATCACTGCTTTGGGGCTCAGATTTCTAAAAGAAACACTTTGCCTATAATATTCTCTAAGGGAATACAGGGAGCTCTAGTTTCTAGATTTTACCATGCCTACTGTTTCCCTTGAACTGTTGGTGGAGCAAGACACTTAACCCCTTTTTAGTAGGGCATTCCTTATCTGTAAAGAAGGCAATGATAAAAACATACACCCAAGCTACTAAAAATTCCCCCTTTATTCTTTTCTTCTCTCCTCCCACCCACAGTCTTGCTTCCTCTTTATTAAGTTATCAATAAGCAAACAGAACAAAAAATCTATAGACGTGAGAAAGGAGAAAGGCAGATATGATGGGTCAATCACATCATGGATATTTTACACTCTTCACTATTGGCCTAGACATAAATAGATGCCTAACATGTTCAAGTGATTAGGACCAAATGGGTCATTTGGCTTGAATTGCCCTGGAAATGACCTCACATATTTTTAACTATTTACTTAATGGGGACCTGGCCACAGGCTAGTGGCAGATACCTTTCATCATCATTTTCACGCCTACTAAAAATCTAACAGAGCAGTATTCTAGTGTGCTATATGGTGCTCTAGTGATCAGAAAGATTTAATGCCCCTCCTAAAGTGCCCTCCTTACACCAAGCAAAATCTAATCCATTGTGTTATTTTTATATTTGCCCTAGAATTAAGTTCTTATGTGGCAAAAGCATCACTCGTTTTACTCAAGAGGCCAAACTGGGTTTTTATCCATTCTCCAATAATCAGTTCCCCGTGGCAGTACATGCAATTTCTGCTGGAATGGCAATGTACCTTATACACTTAAAATATTATATTAATTCATATCAGTGTGACATTTCAGTCATTCCATGCTCTGAAGGAATTTCTTCTATGACATAGGCATTTGGATTCTGGTATTCTACACAGATTGTAAAAAGGTCTGCTTATGTACAATAGGTGTAGTCTTCTAGTCCAATTCAGTGAACTAATGCCAAATTAGAAAGAAGTCATGAAGAATGATGGAAGTAAATCAGATTAAAATTTTTATTAATATCAAATATCTAAATAACAATGATGAGTGACTAAAATTATAACATCCAAAAATGTCTCATCATTATATAGTCAAATGGCATATATTGGAATATAGGTGTACCTGAACAGCATTTTCAAATTAATTAAGTCCCTAAAAAATAAAATATTGTCTTTTTACAAATAGATATGTTTAACTTACTTTGTCTGAACCATAAAGACTCCTCATATTTTTTTCCTGGCCTTTTCCCACATATCTGCCTTCTTTCTGACATCTAATTTTAGCTATTTCTTCTTATAGGCTTCAGATATATACCACAGAAGGGAAGTCTCACATTTATTTGAGTTTGGAGCAGCCAGTTGTGTCCCTTTATATATAACTCAACTGATTGCAGAGGTTCATATCCTGTATGGAAGGCCCATACTGGCCTTCAGTGCTAGGGGTATGTCCATGTCAGGCAGTGCTGTGCTAAGAGAAGGACTGCATGGGCCTACACTTTTAGTTTTAAAAGGGTCACATTTGTATATATTGAATTCCTCCTGTCAGCTCTCCCCAAATGTCAGTGTGTGTTCCGCCTTGTAAGATCCCAAGCTCCCTATAATTCCTCTGGAGAGGCTTTGTTAGTTGCTCTTGCTGATCTATAATCTTGTTTAAATCCAGAATGCATATGAGTTCATCTCTGCTTGGAGCTCAAGTACAAACTCTCTTAAAAACATAAAACACTCAATTACTAATTAGCCGTTTCCTCTTCCTAATGAAGTGAGCATGCCGGGTCTGGATTAAAATTCAGCTACTGCTCTCCTCTGTTTATGCTTCCAGATGTTTTTGTTTTATCTAGAAGTTTACTTTGACAGCTACTACTAAATGATAAATCACTCATATTATAGCTGAAATTCGTTTTGAAATTGAAATGTGGCAAACTTTGAGATTGCTCCAAGGATCATGTCAGTTAGCAGGTCAATACTGGTTCTTTCCTTATAATCATTCAGTATTGGCATATGTAAAATAGTAGCTGAATATGTGTCAACATTATACAGCATGCTACACAGGAGTCTATTTCACTACTGTCCTCAATTGGGAGAAAAAGTTTTAATACCATGAAATTTCAATTGATTGTATTCTGGATAGAAAAATTGATTCATATTAATATTATCTTCTTCTTGCTAGCCTAGTTTTTCTTTGGATTTTTGAGCTGCTGTGGAAACTGTTCCTGATAGGCCTTGTAAGAGGGCATGTTTAACGAAGGGTGTGGGGAGATATGTTTGTCCCTTAATAAAGACAATAATTAAATATAACAAAGGTGGACATTTTTCAGAAACTGCATTTTTCTAAAGGACAAATGGTGATTGTCTTTCACCATTCATTGCTGTGTTTATGTACCTTTTTTAAGAGGATATTATTTGTTTCGTCATTGCTTTCAAGTTTGTAACGTTCACAATTTATATTGCATGATTTAAGCTTTAGCTGTATTTTATAAACTTTAATCCTGGTAATGACTGTCTGCCACTTGATGTTGAAGAGCTTTTCCTTTGACATTTAGGCTGTGTATACAGAGGATGAGGTTGACTGGAGGACTGAGTAACTATCTGGTCAATTTTATCACAGTAAATACTGTCAGACTCCACAAAGGAGTCTGAGCAATTCTCTGGGATGACAGATCACCGGACAGTTTCCAAAAATTCAAGCTTTGTTTTCTTCTGGTCCCTGGAAAAGTTCAGATGAATTCCATGGGCTCCTTGGGAAAATGTCCGGTTGCCCTCTATTGATGTCCTACCCTCTAGCCAGTCTGACTGACACAGACTCCAACTCTTATTCTTCTATTACCTTACCACATCTTTATTTTTGGTTCTGAGGCATTATCCAGAAAATTCCATCAACTCACCATGATACATTCTATGCAGAAAGGATAAATATTTTAAAGCTATTATACATAATGTTTAAAAAGAATATACTTTCCTCCTAACAATGGTAAGCTTTGGCTAGACTGAGTTAATATTTTAGACTAGGCATATCAATCCAAAAATGATAATGTACTCTCCTTATATGTGGAGATGATGCATTTGACTCACAAACATGGACTTTAAGTGTTTCTCAAGCACAGGTGATGGATTTTTACTGATTCATACACACTTCTTTTCCTGTTTCTTATTTTGTAACCAAAACCAATTGTTATGATTCAGCTAGATGGAGATTCATGCCATAAGCCATTGCTATGGAAAAGAGCAATGTTAGACAAAAAGAAATAGAATAGATTTTTTTTTTAAATTCCCAACAATAACTTTTACTCACACCAATCAACTAATTTATAACTCTGGAATTATATGGACTCTTTTAATTACCAACATTGAAATGTATACTGCTTTGACCAAACACTACGGCTAAATAATATTTAGAACTAGTCTCCCTTCATGCAGCATACACAGTCTCAGGGTTAACCCGGGGAGAGGAAATTCTGAATGTACAAAGCTGTCATTATCTTAGATCATAACAAGCAAATGTTCCTTTCTCCCTGTTTTGGTAAACCATAGGGATTTCAAATGTACCATTATATACAAAAGTTAAAACTAATATAGAACATTATAGACATTATAACATAGTTCATGAAAAGAATCTTTTTTGGTCTTTGATGTCTTCAGTGCTGTGGAAAGAAGAACAGAAGCTGTAGCATGAAACTTGAAAGACCTTTGAAAACTGATACACTAACATATAGAAATGTTAAATGTTAAATTTTACCAACACTGAATCAAGCCAGTTACATAAGATCATTTTAGGTTCCTGATAATAGAAGTTTTAATATTTTTAAGCACGTATCAGAATTATTCCTCAGAAGAACTAACTCGTTTTCTTTTTTTTAAAGGAGGTAACTATTACTGTTTAGCAATGGCACAACAATTTTATTCGGCCTGAAAGGTCCTCGCTGGCTTTACATAAATGAAGATGCTTGTGATTCCAGTTTATCTCTGAAACTATTCAACACGGAGTTATTTCAATTGTGTTTATCTGCAAAGCTTTGTTTACTGAACAAGCTATTCAATCTGTGTTACATTTAAAAAAAAAAGGAATGTGTGTACATTTTAAAAGAAATGATGTAAACTTTGTCCTTGCATTAGATTGAACAGTTTAAGAATATGAACTAAATCCTAATGGCTAAAGTAACTTGATCATATTTGATGCTTTTCTATGCTCATTTCAGCTTGGCTTTTTGTCTTTTAAGGAAAAAATGCAGTAGTGTGTTAGGGACTAGAAACTTACATGTATGGTTTCTCTGTTCTACCATATATTAAGTTAAAGTACACCTTCTTTGTTAAAAATGTACTTGCTAAACTTCAGTATAAATAAAAGCATTTTGACTTTGCCAGTTGTCACCGAGTTTTTATTTTCAAATTGCCAACTGCAGTCACTAAAATATATAGGAGAGTCAATGCAAATTGCAATGCAAACATAGAGGAACTAGGAAGGTATCTGCAAAGCTTCCTTCAGTTTTGTTATTTCCAAAAAAAAAAAAAATATGAACAGACATCTTATTTCAGTTGACCCGCTTAAATAGGTTGATATTCTTGTCCTCAGTTGTTCTATTGACTCACACTGGATTGCCTTTTGCTGGCTGTGTGTGCTTAGTGAACCTGCTTCCAGGAGGAAGGGTTGCACTGGAAAGTAGGAAAAATGAGTGAATGAAGAATTAGAAAATCCTTTCTGAATATCCACTATTTTCAAAAAGTTTCCCCTAGAACCACCTTCAGTGGAGAACAACAACAACAACAAAAAAAAAAAATGGAAGGAGTATATTTACTTTGGTCCAAAGAAATAGTAAGTCTCTTTGTATGTCCAGGTGTCCATCAGAGCTTAATAAAAATCCAAAGCACCAGTCATAGCCCTGCCCTACAGTTTATCTAATTGCTGTTTTTACCTTCTCCTTAGTTCACTTCCAGTAAAATCCTGGAGCCCACCTAAATTATGGTTCATCAAGGAATCTCTCAGTTTTTCCTATGCAGCGGCAGCGCTACTTCCAATCCTTACCTGTTTTGTGAAACGTGTTGTATCTCGCCATACTTCTAGCTGGTCACCCTATGACTGCAGGTCTTCTGCTTTGGAACAATGATGCTACTTCCACAGATGTTTCCTCTCACCATTACCTCCTCACCATCCTCATTTATGGAAATCTTGAGAGTCCTGACAGAACTATAAACTCTTTCTCTGCTATAGAGGAGGAAGATCCCTAGGGTTTCTGTTGGCTAAGCAGGTCTGCTCTGGCAGTATATTATACGCCCCACCATAACACACAAAGTAAGGGCCCAATAGTTAATCATATGATATGCAGGCTTGTATTATTTAAAGGTTAATGAAACAACCAGAGGAGGCCTATGCTATTAGGCTTCCCAACTTCCAGGGGTCCAAGTGCCCAATGTTTTCTCTGGTTTAACCTCACCTGGTAGCAATTTTCCACACTGGCTAAACATGGATGAGGTAACTTCATTGTGGGTCCTGTGGATGGTTGGAACTTCTAGGGACATAGATGCAACTATAGGAATCTCCTAATTATTTGGAGCCCACTTCATTCGCCCATCTCAAGAGAATAAGCCAGGAAAATACTGGGAGTGAGATCCACCATGAACCACCATGTTTCCTGTGATAGGATGCCTTGCCATTTGAATGCAACCTCTTGACCACCCTTTCCATATCCCCCTCCTCACCACTACCTCTGTCCTCTAACAACATAAGAACCTTAGCTTATAAAAGGAACTGTGTACAGGACAGGAATTACTTCATTGCAGGCTGGTGGTTTCACTGAATATCAATTCTATTTTAGGAGTAAACCCTTTTCTCCTAGGGTTGGATCCCTTTGCACTGTCTTTGGAGAAAATACAGTTTACATTCATCCTGGGAATGTGGCTGCAGGAATTGGATCAACCTCATGCAATCTCCAGGGTCTCTGACCTTCCTAACTTCATTGCTTATGCAGTAGAAGTGGGGGGACACAGCTATTCTCACCACCAGACATACTCATGGCACTGTTATCTGTGATTACAATCCTAGTATAAGAGTATCTTTCCATACCTTTCAGGTCACCTAACCTTTTTGATATATTCAATTGTTGCTGTTCTTCCCAATGTATGTCATTCATGTATAATGCCATTTATGTATAAGTAAATCTCAATGGATTTGCTCATGAAGGCCTCTCTCTCCCAGGAAACATCAGCATTATGCCTTTTTATTCAGGGAAATGTGTCTCTGTGGATGACGTTCCAAAAATAACTTAAAATAGAATCTGAGATTAGGGAGTGAGTGGAAGAGTCTTTGAAGACCATCAAAAGTCTTGTATCTCAAAGATAGGCACATGATTACTATTTGAACAATTATAATGCCAAGGAGCTGCTTTGTTTTTGGATAGATAGCTGTCATTATTATAGAGATCAAAAGTGATATTGGACCAAAAATTTCTCCACTTTAACTTGAACTTGGAGGAAAACTACTCCCAAGCACACACATAGCTAAGTGACTCCCTCATTTAAAATTATGGAAATCTGTCAGCTGTTACAAGTGAAGTAAAAGGAATCAGCATAGTTTTTACTCCTGGTTGCACTCGTGTGCATACATGTGTTTATATACACAGTATATACACACAAAACACTCCTGCTTTTCTTTGCCAATGAATTACTAAAATCTGAGTATTTTTCCAGTCCACCTGATTCAACTCTCTCGAAGCATATAAGCAGCTAAATTATGAGGTGTAAATCGAAAGTCAGGTATGAAGGTAGTCAACTATCATTGGGAGGGGTGGTAGTGATTTTGAAAATAAAGTGTCTAGATGATGATGATTATTCTGAAGCTCAGCTCTTTAATTGTTTAAACTAAAAGTCCCCTCTCTGGACCCCACATTGGCCATGTAAGATTTCCCTATTTTATACCTTCTGTCAGTTACCCTACAATCCTTCTCTAGAGTTTCTAGGTTTAAACCAAATGATGCTATAGCTGAGAACACAGAACTAGGACCCTGATTTATATGTTGATACATTAGAAGTATGAGGGATGGGTAGAAGCACCAAGAAGGCAAATGTACTGATTTTAAGGCTTCATTGGGTATCAGGCATATTTATTAACATCTTTGGAGTTGATCTGTGGCCCATCAACAACTTCCCTCACTCGAATCAGAGAGCTACAATAATCACAAATGCAGTTGAACTCAACTAATGAACTTTTTGGGGCATGTCATAGTAATTCATTATATTCTGATGAGGAGAATATTTCTTCCCTTTTGAATGACTTTTAAAAATGAGTTAAACCTATAATCCTCTGGGTAACATTTATACTAAATATATGGTAGAGTTTGTTTCTTGGGTTGCCATGCCATTTATGAGATTAGCAGGGTATGAAGATCCTAGAAGCTCCAGAGCAATGTGAACATACCTGAAAATCTATCTTAAGTAGTCAAAGGGGAAAAATAGAATTAAAAGCAAGTAATTAGGTAAAATTAAGTATCTGACATTGAAAGGATACTTTGTATAGCAAGAAACTGCCAACAGAATCAAAACAACAGTGTTTATATTATAAACAATTAGAATTCACTACAGGCCGGGCACGGTGGCTCACACCTGTAATCCTAGCACTCTGGGAGGCCGAGGCGGGAGGATCGCTCGAGGTCAGGAGTTCAAGACCAGCCTGAGCAAGGGCGAGACCCCATCTCTACTAAAAAATAGAAAGAAATTAAATGGACAACTAAAAATATATAGAAAAAATTAGCCAGGAATGGTGGTGCATGCCTGTAATCCCAGCTACTCAGGAGGTTGAGGCAGGGGGATCGATTGAGTTCAGGAGTTTGAGGTTGCTGTGAGCTAGGCTGATGCCATGGCACTCTAGCCCGGGCAACAGAGTTAGACTCTGTCTCAAAAAAAAAAAAAAAGTCACTAAAAATGCTAGATAATTTAATGCCAATGTGTATGATACAAAGATAAAGAAGGAAGAACATGTTGTATGCAAGAATAGGTCAGTTTTGCAAAACTTAGAGACCTAACAAGCAAGTAGGATGCGGGGAGGGGTGGCCAAAGGTAAAAGACCAGCACCAGTTAAGCCCCAGAGTAAGAAATTAGAATGGTATGTACTGTCTGTGGAACAGAAATAAATCCACTATAAGGAAGGACAGATAAATTTTAGTGATCTATTTCACAGCATTGTTACCATAGTTAATAATGTATTGTATATCTTAAAATTGCCAAAATGATCATTTTAAATGCCCTTGCTACAAAAAAATAAGTAGATGAGGTAATGGGTATGTTAACTAGCTTGATTTGATTATTCTACAATGTACACATATATCAAAACATCACATTATACCCCATAAATATATACTATTATTATTTTCCAATTAAAAATAAAATAAAATAAAGGTGGCCCCAAGTACAAGGTGCTCACTCCATAGTCCATGGGCTTAAGGGGTTCTAAAGCCCTTAAAAGCTTCCAATTCCTTAAAGGCCCAAACACCTCTGCCAGGATAAGGCATGCATCCTTAATTCTTATGACATTTTCAAGTATGAGAAGGTTAAAACGTCTTATTGTCTTGGTGTTTGTGGATGGCCACTTTCACCTGGAGTAGCTAAATCCATAGCAGATGTTTGTGTAGCAATTTGCATTTTATGAATGTTCTTTACACAAATCATTTCATTTAATGTCAGTATGCAACATTTTTCTAAGGGAGTACACTTTCCTTTATTTCCATATATTCTTCTACCGTACATCCTTGATGCTTCTCAGAATTCTTCTCCAAAAAGTATGGCATGAGTGACAGGGGTCTCAGGGATAGATAGTCAAGCAGGATAAATGTTAGTATGAGTAATGCTTTATGTCAGAGCCTAAAAGAATACATCCTATGGTTTTAGCCCAGGCTTTTTGTGAACAATCTTTTAGACTCTGAGGCCGATTTGCTTACTTCTGAACTTAGAAGCCAGTTCTGAAGAATATGTATAACTATTAATAGAAATCAGTCAAACAATTAAAGATTATTACCAAAGTAACAAAATATGGTATTACTGGTGCACAGACATTTCTGGTCTCATATTTCCAAGAGTCTGCTTGATATATCCATTCAAAAATAATAATGCAGCATATGAAATATATTCAAAACAAAATTTTTGATCTTCTCTTTTAAACATGCTTCTTTTGGTATAATTCTTTTATTAGTTAAGGCAAAACCATTGCTGGATCTTTTAAGCTAGAAACCTCCCAGAAATCCTAAATCTTTCTTTTTCTTTATTACCAACATCTAACCAATCATCAAATCCTGTCATTTCTGCCTCAGAAATACCTTTCAAAATCATTTCCCTTCCAAACTGTCACTGTCTTACTTCAAACACACATTATCTC